ATTGAGCCATGCATCCATTGTTCCTCGTTCTCTCTCTCAATAGTCACAAAGTAATAATTAACATTTTTCCAGCCTTATTGGGATATATTTGATGTACAGCATTGTAGAAATTTAAGGTATACAATGTGTTGATTTGATATACTTAAATATTGCCAAATGATCACCACCATAGTGTTGGCCAACACCTCCATCCTGTCCCATAATGACCATTTCTTTTCTGCGGTAAGAACTTTTAAGAGCTACTCTCAGCAACTTTCAAGTATATAACAGAGTAATATTAACTATAATCATCATGCTGTACATGAGATCCCCAGGAGGTATCCATCTCATAACTGGAAATTTGTGCCTTCGACAAACGTCTCCCATTTTCCCCATCCCACAGGTCCTGGAAACCACCATTTTACTTTGTTTAGATGAGTTCAACTGTTTTAGATCCTACCTATAAATAATACTGTAGAGCATTTCTCTTTCCCTGCCTTTCTTATTTTACTTAGCATAATGCCCTCAATGTTCATCCATGCCTTCACTCTCCTCACTAAATAACATTCCTGTGTGTGTGTGTGTGTGTGTGTGTGTGTGTGATATTTGTTACCCAATCATCTGTTAATGGATGTTTAGGTTGTTTTATCTTGGCTTTTTGTAAATAATGTTATAGTGACCATGAAGGTGCCAGTACCTCTTTGAGATCCTATTTTCATTGTCTCTGGATATATACACAAAAGTGATATCCTTGGAAAAGATGGTAGTGTTATTTTTAATTCTTTGAGGAACCCCCACACAGTTTTTCACAGTAGCTGCACTAATTTACACCCCCAGTATTCCCTTTCCTTCACACCCTGACAATATTGGTTATCTCTTGCCTTTTTGAGGACAGTCATTCTAACAAGTGTGAGGAGGTAATCCTTTGATTTTCATGTCTCTGATGATTGTTGATGTTGAGCACATTTTCGTGGACTTGTTGGACATTTGTATAACTTCTTTGGAAAATGTTGAGTTCCTCTGCCCGTTTTCAAGTCAGCTTGTTTGCTTTTTGTTACTGAGTTGTATGAATTCTTGTATATTTTGACTATTAACCCCTTATCAGGTGATTTGCAAATATTTTCTCTCATTCCACAGATCGCCTTTTCATTTTGTTGATGGTATCTTTTGCTGTGTGGAAGCGTCTTAGCTTGATCCCACTTGTTGATCTGCCAGATGCATTCCAGAGGGTTTATTTGTCTTTGAAGCCACCATGTTACTTCTTCTTGTCCCCTCTGTGGTTTTATTTTGCCCTGTCCTTCCCCCGTAGCAGCATAAATCGACTCTTCTGATGTGCAGCCACATCGACTCTTCTGTATGCTTTGAGGGACCATGCCTGCTTCTACAAAGTACTTTCCTGCTTCCTTCCCTGGGATGCTCCTTCTTGTGATCTTTCCAGGTCTGCCTCCTCCAGTTCTCTGAGTTTGCAACTGTAAAGCCTTTTCTCAGAGAGAACTTTTCTGACACTACTTTCAAAGGCACTTGATTTCACTTTCCTCATAACACAAATCACCATCTGAAATTAATTATGTGAGTACTTCTTTATGGTCTCCTCAGTATCCCATAAACATAGACCCATTAAGTGTACATTCCATGAAAGAACCTTGTACAGTGTATCTTTTTTATTTATTTATTTTTATTTATTTTTTTAATATGAAATTTATTGTCAAATTGGTTTCCATACAACACCCAGTGCTCATCCCAACAGGTGCCCTCCTCAATGCCCATCGCCCACTTACCCCTCCCTCCCACTCCCCATCAGTTCTCAGTTTATTCTCAGTTTTTAAGAGTCTCTTATGTTTTGGCTCCCTCCCTCTCTAACTTTTGTTTTGTTTTGTTTTGTTTTTTTCCCTTCCCCTCCCCCATGGTCTTCTGTTAATGTGGGTGTATCCACGCAAAGAAAAACCCAACCTCGTTCTCCTTACACATTCAATCTCTTGTCAGTTGGTCTATTACAACCAAAAGCTGGAAAGCAGAGAGAAGTCTAGAAAAAGTATATAAAGTTGATCTAGAGCGACAAATGAAGAGTGTTCACCATTATCCTGTTAAACTTGGTAATGGTGACTGAATGAAACATACATTTTAGTACAAACGGTGACTGAATCAGGTGTCCCATGTGTCAGTCTGCAGCGCAGTCCTCAATTCACAGTATAGTTCATGTAAAGCCATATACTGGATTATCACATGTCATATTTAATGGTTCTTCACATAGAGTCTTGCATTATTTCATCTCAAAATGCTCTCAGAAGATTTAACCCATTTTTGCAAAGCAAGCTGAAATCCATTGAGATTAAGGGGCTTACAGACAACGTGAGCGTCTTTGCAGAAGATGAATATGTTCCTTGGCGGACTAGTGTCCTTTTATATATTATTTTAAGTTTATAACTCTTTCAACCATATATTTATATTCATATTGGCAGAAATAAAATCCCACTAGAAGAAGTTTTCTCCTTTTTGCATTTATTCTAATTCGTCTCAATTATGTATGCTGGAAAGTTCATCAGGTACAAGACATTTAAATCATACCAAAATTCAAGGTATATTTACCCCTCCATTCTTTTTTTTCCCTAATAAATAGGATTTACTTCAGAATTATAGCTAACTAATTAAATTCCATGGCATTATTGCTGTGGAATATTTATGCTATCCTGCAAAATGCATTTTTTAGGCTTCAGTTATTATCAGACAAGGCTGTAACTTTATATACAAATACTAAAAAATAAAGATGGACACATGAACTTAAACTTAAGAGTCAAAATAACAGAATGCAGCATTTCCGTTTGCTAGTTACATTCTACTATAGAAGCACTTAAGCTCAGTCCTTGGCAAGGTTCCTCCTTGCTCAAGATCATGGAATCCATTTTTGTCTGTTTGGCTTTGAATATTAGGCATTTGGTACATAATGGGTGGTCCATAAAAAAGAGTAGCTTCTTGGAAAGGAGACTATTTTTCACCAGGCTTTTACGATAGACCACAATGCCTTAAGATTCCCTTCTCACATTTGAAACTTGTCGTCTGCCTGATTTCCCAGATTCAACTCTGAAAAAATTCTACAAATGCCCTATTTTATTTCTCTGAGACAGTGGTTCTTAAATGGAAATGGTGGTGTGCTCATGGTCATCAGTGGTTTTCTTTGGAACTACATATGCGACCCTTTCCTCTCTCTAAATTCTAGCAGATGTCTTCCAGGTGAACGGCATTACAGTAAAGGAGGGCTAAGGAACAGAAAGGTCACCTGTCAGACCCAGGATGGAGCAGGAGGGCAGGGCAGTTTGATGTCTGGATGATAACTGTAGCAAATCACCAGAAAACAAACCAACCTAGTTTGCATGCATATGAATTAAACCCAGGCATTTATCTAGAAAATATAAGCATTATAAGGCAGGCAGAAGTCTTGTAACTGAAAGCATGTGCAACCAGGCCACTGAGATGGCAGAGATGAAGAATCCTAGTTAAGAGACTTGGAATTGAAACATCAAGAATCTGAGCTGAAGAGGGGAAATACAGATTGAAATAATAGAGTGTCAGTACTCATGCATGAATAAACAGCAGTAGCAAAAAAAAATGGAACTTGCTTGTTTTGCAACCATTTCCTGCCAAGGGTCAGAAAAAATCCTAGATTGTAGTTAAGTTTAAATTAGCAACAGAGCAAAGCATTTTGTAAGTCAATAGTGGCAAGAACAGATAAAATGTGGATGTATATTCAGTTTATGATTTGGATGCTAGACTCCGTTTTGGTGCTTGATATTATATTTGTTATTCATATATGCTACTTTATTTAAGAAACACCACTATCAAAGACACTTGGATTTAAGACAAATGCTCTGCAGTCTCTCCCAAAAACCATTGGCTATACGCTGGAATTTGGTATAAAATTTATTCATAATTTTACTTGCAACAAATCCAGAAGGTTTTAGTTATTTCACTATGAATAAATATAAATATAAATTAGTTCTATACTTGGATACAAGGGCAGAAAATGAGTAGGGTACGTAAATAGGCATATATACTGCATGATTCACAATTGTAAACTTAATTATTTATATATTCATTCATTCATTCATTCAGCCAGTCATTCAACTAGTCAGCTGTTTGACACATTCTTATTGAGCTCCTTCTAAATGGCAGAGACTGGAGTAACTCGTTGACAAGGGAGATAAGGTCCCTGCAGTGGCAAAGCTTAATGAGATCTAAGTGAAAAAAATCTGTGGCTGAAATAATTAAGAGGAATCCTGAGAGATGAAAAATAAATGGGAGGAGATACTTTGTGTGCTTAAAAAGTAAAGTAACAAATTTATTTTAGGAAATACAGAGAAGAATGGAGAA